TCCTTGAAGAGGGACATCATGCTTGGGAGGGTGTAGGGACGGTGCAAGAGGGGAAGACCCTCTATGAGGTGGATTGATTCAGTGACTGGAGTAATTGGGATGGGTGTGTCAGAGGCAGTGTGACTGGCACAGGATAGAGCAGGGTTTAGGGCTGTTGTACATAGGGTTGCTATGAGTCGCAAGCGACTCGACAGCACATAACAACAACAACTACATAACTTGGGAAAGACTGGAGTGCATTATGATGATAAACTAACTTCATCTTATAAGGACAAATACCACATAAAACCATTACTTTAAAAATAGAAATAAAACTAGTAATTTGTGTCAAGGGGAAATGGAGGGGAATCACAGTGTTACATAATTTGGTGGGTAGAAGGAAGGGACAAAGGAAATGGGGAAGGAAATCCAGTGAGGACTGGAAAAGATGAGGTAAGGGTGAACATAGTTCAGTAGCAATTAATTTCATAAAACACAAAGTATGGGAATGATGTATGAAAAAATGTGAATGAAAGAAAGTGTGAAACATAATATATACAAATTTTTTATGCAAACCAAATAAGATTTTTTTAAAAATGAAAGAATTGGCATAGTGGAGGGGAAGGATCTGAGTTTTAGTTGTTATACTTAAGGATTTAGTGACCAGGTTGGGCAATATTCTCATGTACAATTTACTACCTCTGAAAACCTGCTAGAGGGTCAGTTATGAGTCAGTTCTGACTCCACCACACACAACAAATCAATAGGCAAAATATTGAATGATGCTGGAAGCATCAAAAAAGACAGAAGGAAAACTCTATCACTCTACCAAAAGTAATTAATCTTTACCACTTTAGGGGGTAGCATATGATCAAGGAAGAAGTTCGAGTTGTTCTTAAGGCACTGGTGAAAGCAAGACTCCAGGAACTGACACAATACCAATTGAGATGTTTGGACAAATGTATGTCTCGCATTTCAGCAAAAGAAGATGCTTCAACAAATAAAGAGCTCACTTATCTGTGCCAAGAAATTTTTGGCCTATCTTGACCATCTCATTGGAAGTGATTCATTGTGCCATTCCAATAAAAGGAGATTCAACAGAATGCATGAATTATCAAATAATATAATTAATATTAACTACTAGTAAAATCTTGCTGAAGATAATTTTTAAAATAGTTGCACGGAGACATTGACAGGGAACTTGCAGAAATTTAAACTGGATTCAGAAGAGGTTGTAGAGCAAGGGATACCATGACTGACATTAGCTGTATCTTGGCTGAAAGCTAAGAATATAAAAAAATATGCTTACCTGTGTTTTCTTTGTCATTAAAAGACATTCTCCTGTGTGGATCATCACAAATTATGAATAAATTTGGAAAGAATTGTGCTCATGTGGAAGTTGTGCATAGACCAAGAGGCAGCATCTAATAGAACAATGGATACTTCCTGGTTTGAAATCAGGAAATGTGTGCATTAATGTTGGATCCTTTCACTGAACTTACTCAATTTGTATTCTGAGCAAATAAGCTGAGAAGCGGGACTATTTAGAAGCACTCTATACAAAAACTGGTACTTTAATAACCTACACTATACCAATAGTACAACTTCGTTTGCTGAAAGCAGAGGATTTGAAATACTTGTTAGTAATAGTCAAAGCTTTTAGTATGGATTATACTTCAATGATACCTTTGAGTTATGGTACTGGAGAGGAGCACTGAACATGCCATGGGACACCAAAAAAAAAAATAAAATAAAACAAAAAAACAAAAAAGTCCTCCAAACCCCACCAAGTCTGTCTTGGAGAAGATGAAGCCAAGTTTCTCCTTGGAGGCTAGGATTTTGAAGCTCTATCTCATTTAGTTTGGGTATTTGGCCAGGAGGGACTGGTCCTTGGAGAAGGACATCATACTTGGAAGGTTGGAGGAACAGCACAGGACAGGAAGATTCTGGATAAGATGGATTGATACGGTTTAAAAGTGGCAATGGGGGTAGTTGTGTGGGAGTCACTGAGCTGGTTCAGGACAGACAAGGGCAGCCTTCAGAGCTGTTGTGCATAGGGTCTCAATGAGTCGCAGGCATCTTGATGGCACATAACAACATATCTCAGTATTAAGAAGATTAAAATTTTCATGACCCAGATAACAGACAACCTCATACTAAGCAAAGAAAAGAAGTTTGCAAGAATTTACTTCAACGGACAAGAAATATACATAGAAAGTGCAGTTAAGAATAAAACAACTTACTGCACTGGGCAAATCTGTTTTCAAAAGAGGACTAAAGTGTACTTAACCAAAACTATAGCATTTTCAGTTGCCTCATATGCATGCTGGACAATGAGTTTAGAAGAAAAATCTATGCTTTTTGCTGAAGAACATTAAATACACTTTCAGAAAAACAAACAAATGTGTCTTGGAAGGAGAATAGTTAGAATTTCTTAGAAGCAAGGATGGCAAGACTTGATCTTATGTTGGAGAAGGATTTCAGGTGTGGAAAAATAGGTCAGTGAAGAAGAAGATGGGCTTCAAGGAGACAGAATCTCACAGTGTCTAAGAGAATAGGCGTCAGTATAACAAGGATTGTGAGGATGACCCAGGAGGGACCAGACAATGTCTCACTCTCGTATATAGGGTGACTATGAGTCAGAAACACTCTTGGTACCAGCAGTCAGGAAATCAAAAAGCGTATCGCGATGGGAAAGTCTGCTGTTAGGGACCTCTCAAAGGTACTCAGGA